CACAGTATAATCTCCAAAACACTACTTACCATATTTATAAAATGTACTTAACTTTGTCTTTGTATATTAGTGACAGGTCTGAATGAATAATAAAAAATGCGATTACTGTAAACTTGAGTCATTCAATTTAAATGTTTTGTGTAAGCTATGCTTAGTCTATATGTTAATCTTTGGTATTATATAAGAAAAAGTTGAGAAAAGCATGAGTTAATTATCTAAAGGGATCACTTTTTACAACTTTGCTGCAATATTTATGTAACCTTTAATGATTTTCTTTTAAAAATTTAAACTGTGTTTATTATTTAACAGGCGTTTACTTCTGAAAAATACTCTTCTATCATCTTTCTATGTAATTTAGAGGGCTGATTTTTCAAACCGTCAGAAATGTTATCACACTAAAGACATGAAAGACACTTAAATGTATTGTCTACACCAGGACTTCTGATTGAATTAATTTTGTTCTATATTTACTTTAGCTACAACAGAAAAAGCTTCTGCACACAGTATTAAGTTGCATATCTGAAAGCAGTTAAGAAAAACTTGTATCTTAAAAGGATATGCCTATCAAAGATATCACAAATTACAAAGAACACATTATACACAACATATGTGATTCTGTAATATGATACTTGATTGAACCCATACTTCAATTTTTAAATTTATTTTTTAGTTAGATTTAATCACTTTTTCCCCAAACTACCTTGCATTTGTGGACATCATCTGGCATGTTTTAAAGAAAATGTTTTCTAGTTGTGAGAATGAGTGTTTAATGAATCTATAAAATAGCAGTGTGCTTATATTCTGACCACTATTTGACACCAAAAATCTAAAATGCATGCCTACCCAGTTCTGCTCTTCCCAAGGCAAGATTGTTTTTTAATAGTGCAATATTCTAGATATAGCTTTTAAAATTAACAAAATGCAAGACTCCAGAAAAGTTAATAAAAAACAGCTCAATCCTGATGAGGTTGGCTGATATTCGCAGAAATCAGGAAGAATAAGTCTATCTACAAGTATTCTTTCACAATAACTCTATAATGGAATTTAAATGAAACACATCATTATGAGACAATAATTCTTATATAGCAGAGAGCTACAATACATTTGAATGTAATGTTAACATATTTATTAATTTAATCAATAAATGGGTATTTTATAGATTTAATTTGCTGGAACTATAACGTGGTAGCTTCTTTATTAGCTATTAAAGGGAATTTGTTATGCTTTGGGTGCTTTCAAAGGCATCTACATCTGAATAAATTAGGGTTTAGGCATTAAAACAAACACTCCTAAAATATTAATTACAAATAAAAATAAGTCAAACTGAGGACAAACACCATTTTTAACTGTAAATTTAATAAAAAATAAAAATTGTGAGAAATTATACATGGTGTTTAAGAAATAACAATGAATATGGAGGAGTAAGAATTTATGATGCATGTCATTTTTCCACATCTGAATTTATACTTTCTTGGTTAAAAATAAATATTTTAAAAATCAACACAACTATTTGTTTCATGAAAAATACCTAGGAATCCAGTCAACTCATTAAAATATATTACTTTTATCTTTCAATCTTATGGGAAAAGAAACTGGTTAGAGAATCATAACTGGGTTTATTTCAATTATAGAACATCAACTAGTTATTTATGATTTGTAACTTTGAATACAAAAGTGAGAAATATCCCAGAACTGTATGCACGAATACTTTATTTCATATATTAAGTATAGAAGAGTGGATTCATAGTTTATGAAATCATTATCTATAGAGACTTTGTAACTGGATAGGTTTACATATGAGTAATTGGATACCAATATTCTTAATAACTCATCAAATATGTCCTGAAATGATAGTAATGAAAGCTTTAAAATGTTATTGATGAGGATATTTGATGACCAGTATAAAATGGTTAGTGGCTATTTGATATCAGTTAAAAAAAAAAAAGAAAGAATGAAGAACTTTCAGATATATTTTCAGTAGAAAGGTCATTAGCGTTCATTATAAAATTTCATCTTTAGAGAATCCTTTTTTCTACACTAGAATAAACATTATTATACTATCCCCTTCTTTTAACAATCAATTAGCAATCAATAATATTCAAACACAAATTTTTTTGTTTTCCATTAGAACTTATGAATTGTAAATATTAAAATCATAAAACCATATAGCAGTGAATGGAAAAACTGCTCAGAATTACATTCCTAAATGTCTAAATGAAAATATCCAAGTAGTTGCTAAATTAAAACACCAACAATGCCAGATGTCTCCTAATTTATTCTGGTAAACTAAATATTAGTTTATATATGATGTTTGAGAAGTCTGATATTTTTTGAGTTTTTCCTTTTTTAAAGTTGCCACATGTGAATATTTTTATCTTGTTTCAGTTAAACTGACAAGAATCATCAGGTTAATAATATAAATTTGCTAAGAAATCAAACTTTCCTTTCACTAAATAATACTGAAAAGTTAATCAAGAGTAATTATTTTTGTAAATGTGACTGTTGTCCCAGAAATGCATTAAAGGCAAGGTAAGTATAATGTAATTAAGAACTAATGTGCCTCAAGGAATGTATTCTTGAACTTTTGTTTTTTAGCTACACAATATCAAAACAAACAGAAAATATTATTTAAACTCATTAGACATCATGACACCGTAGTCCAAGAATATTTGATACTAATATTTAAAAAAAAAGTTGTCAACACCATTACTTTTTCATGGAAAGAGAACTTTATCCAAAAAGACAAAAAAAAATTAAACGTAAATGGTATTTTTTTCAAAATACATTTTGTTTCATTGCATGTTTGTCTATTTAAAGCATCCTCATCTCTTATGTCATTTATCTATAACAACGCTATAAAGTAGATATGATTTTCCCCATGTGAGAGTTGAGCAAAATAAATGAAGAGTGGTCAAGAAATTTCACTAGGATCATATTTAGGAGGTAGAACTAGAACTGATATTGAGGAAAGAATCCTAAACCCATCTCACTCTACATTTCATGATAACCCACAACTAGGAATAAAGAGAAAAATGTTAAGAATCTTAGAAGCCTACCTCATTAATCATGTCATAATCCTAATATCCAAATACATTTGTGATATTTTTTCATGAAAGATAAATTTGTATTCTACATGCCACAGATTGATGTTACATTCCTGTTTGTATCTGAACTTCAAACTAATACTCAATTTTCTATATAATTAAAATTGTAGGTACTTGTTCTAGTCAGTAACTGCTCATTTTAGAGATAATATGAAAAAAATACAAAATAACAGGGAATACAGGAAACTGAAGCATAGGTTGATAACAAAGTATCAAAGTTTTGAAGTCCTACCAGTTAAGTTCTTTGCACTTGTAGAGAGAAACACACAAAGGCACTATTCTGAAAAGAAATTCCATTTTTAATTAAAGAACACACAAATTTCGTAGTAAGATTAATTTTATATATGCATGTATATATATATTACATACACACACACATACATACACACTCTCAAAAACACACACATTCTTTTAGGATCCCAAGGTCTCTTCTTACTTAGGTTTGATTTACTTAACTGTAATATATCAATCATTTTGCATGAAGAAAATCAAGATGTACTGTATTTTATAAAAAAATCTACATATCCATTATAATGTTGAGTTTAGGAAAATATTTTGTGAGAGGCTAGAATTATCTGATTAAATGATAAATGAAATCAATCATATATGTATCATTTCTATTTCACTTGGAAAACATTATTAAAGCAATGTAGATATTAAAATAAATATCTTCTCCACCCACCCAAAAGTGGGCGTTCACACACACACACACACACACAGACACTGAGCATGTTCACTACAATAAAACTCCAGAAGGAAAAATGCAAAAGAATTGAGGAATTGAAACTCATTGACAAATTACTTTCTCTACTGAAGTAAAAGCTACCTCCTGCCTCAAACTCCCTTTTAGGAAAAGCACTATAACTTCACAATTTTATGACCCAAAGTTTCAATTATCTTTCTTATATTTTCAAGATGTTAACAGTGAGCCTTACAAGCAGAAAATTTATTGATCAGGGATCCACGTCAATAAATGTAAGTACTAAAAATATTTCCAGAGAAAATCTTAATACAATTTCTTAGAGAAGAGAAAGTGTTAGAAATAAATGGAATAGCTTTAAGATTGTGTTTTATTAATTTTTTGCCTCATTATGTGGGGACTCCAGACTCCTTCAACATGTAAGCAAAACATAGCAAAACATTATCAATAATAATAACAAACTTCACACATTGAAAATACGTGTTGTCATTTTAATTAAATTTTTTTGTTAAATCTAAATAGAAGAAATCTATTGACTGCTAATATTATACATCTATAAAATTTGGAATTTAAAAAAGCTTTATTTGTGGGAGATTTACTATAATTTTCTAAATTTATTTTTTCTGTTTCCAACTGGCTTTCCAAGCCAAAGATTTCTATACTGGGGTCACATGTAACATAGCCTTAGGGCAAGCTCTTTTCTTATCTTGTTTGAAAACCCAACCAACCCCCACCCCAAGATTTTTTTTTTTTGAAATTGAGAAAATAATAGGGCTATAACCCACTAAATGTTTCTCTCAAGTAGTCAGAATTAAATTGCTAGTTCAAGATGCCCTTTACAATTCTCCAATTGTCTTTATATTAAGGTCTGTGACCTTAACAAGAAACACTATTTCAAGGCATTTCTGCAACTACTATTTTACATACTTCATTAGGGCTATGCATCCCTTCCTCCAACTCTGTACCCTCCCCATTTCTTCCTCTCACCTCTATCCAGTTTATGATTTTTGTAACATTGTTAAACATTTAAATGAATTTAAAGGGTTCACCAACGTGAATACTAAGAAGTTATGAATCATAGCAGAACCATCTGAAAATACATGTATCCCATCGCTTGAAACAGGGAAAAATTATCACAGGATGGGTCAAATACAGGTTATATGATTGTCAATAAAATATAGACATTCAGTCCTTACCTGCTTAACTGCATGATGACAAACAAATCTAAACAGCATGCAAAAAATCTCAAAATTCTGAATCATCTGTCTTCGAAGCTGCTGTGACAGTTTTATACCCTGCTGCTTTCTTCTTTGCTTACATACATTTGACTGGCTAGAATATTTGTAAGCAATACTAGGGTTATTTTGCAACCCCCTGTCACCTCTTCCTCTTTTCAAGCCTCTGGTTGGCATCTCACACAGCTCGAAACAGGCATCTTATCTTCGGAGGTAGAGCCTCCCCAGCGTTTCCCAAACGGATTCCCATCAGAAGGAGGTC